GCATTTCTGCATAGAAGTATTAAGTATTCCCATCCTTAAAATATATAAATACTGTTCTTCGTTTTTGGTTTGCCATTATGACGAAAGCGTTTCTTATTTGTCATATTCTTATTTGTCGTGTTCCGTCGCGATGAATAAAGATAACTTTCAGAAGTTTTTTTTTTTTATTTTCAATTTTCTGCACGGGTCCTTCATTTGTTCGCATAATACTGATAACGAAAATCATCAGAAAGAAACGATAAAAATTACATATTCGTTTTAACTAATCTTTTATTCCCAGTTTAATACCCGGTAGAATAATAAATAACACCGAAGATAATGTATAATATATTATTGAAGACACCGTTGGCGCATGTATATAACTATTTTTGATGGACTGTAACGTTATTAGTATTAGTTTTGTCAGGTTGATCTAAAATAAGAAACACGGTATACCTTTGGAGATCGATATGGTTGCTTCCCCAGTCCAACGGTTTAAGAGTTCAGTGGCTCGAGACTGATGAACCCTGATGAACTACTAAGCTCAGTCCTGATCACTTCTCTTTTTTTAACCGTTTCAAAATGATTTTCTTTGAATATTAATGCAGGTCTCGATTGCATCTCTTCTTGACAGCCGGATAGGAATATCAGACGTAAATGTTTACATGCGGGAGTTCTCAAATGGATCTCAAATCCAACATGCCTCACATTAATTGTCAAAGCAAATACGACACCAGCGTGCGTCTTCTGCTTTGAAAGTCACAAAAAAAAATTAATTAGAGCTCAATCAAGAGGTTAAGGAGTGATTTGGCTTCGAAGCAAGCCTTACATGGTCGATGTGTGTTAGGTTAAATATAGGCATCGTTTTTTTTATGAATGTTACCCATTACTTATTTAACATGGGGATAATTATTAATTTACCATCGCTTTAGGACATGTCATGTCATTTACAGTCCATTCCTATAAATTAAACCAATTTTTGTTTTGGATCTCCTCGGTGATTTTAATTCATAAACTCGAGTTTAAAAAAAAATAAACAAGAAGGGAACCCTCTTTACGTGCGGAAATTCAAGATTAACTCAAAAAGGAGATTTTGCACTTTCTCGAGTCTTGAGGCAGGTGCTCCGTATTTTAAACTCATTTTAATACGTAATTGGGCACGCGGCTTACGAACAGGGTGACGAACCAAAGAGAAAGTTGCCTTCGGTGGAATGAAGAGTGATAATGTAGGAAAATGAAGGAAATATGGGGAAATTACGAAATTGTGTTCTATGTATGTTATTCTACTTCTTTGTGAAGTTGTTCTTGAACATGAGCAGCTGTGAGTCAATGACAGACCTTCAGTGGGATCTATTAGTTCGAAAAAAGAAATAATGCACTGTGCAAATAACACGCTGTTAAGTTTAATAAAAAATGATAATTTAACTTTAAGTCAATGGCGTCTTGTAACGCAGGTCTTGTTATTCAGAATTCTATTCTACGGTTGATCGTAACAGTGAACAGAAAGTGCAGACAAATTCCTCATAAATTTGCTTCCCTTCCCTGCGTTTTCATAGCCTCCATAATCATAGGAAAGCAAACGTCTCATTTCAGATCACTTTAATGTCAAAATTCTGTTATGGAACCGTCGCCTTCAGGTCAATTTTATTTTTACCTCATAGCCCTCCTATTATAATTTAATTGCGTGCAAATGATCCCACGTATTTTTGCCAGGTCCATAATGAGTCGGTTCTGGAATGCGCACTGTCATGCTGAAATAGCGGACGATGAATTACCTTTTAGTCAGAACCAAAACTATAAATTCATATAAAATTTTCTTTGCGCCATATTTATTTTCATTAATGGAAATCCGACATCGATTTGTCGATTTTGTCGTTCGATAAAAAGCGGTTGTTTAAAGCGCTTTGACGCGGCGCTTTGTAGCTTTACATTTCCTAAATATTTAAGTTTAGGAATACAGCCTCTATTTTCAGTTTTTGTTAAGATCATGTCGCGCTGATATCAAAAGAAGCAGCCAGAATAAAATTTTTTTGCGCGGCGCTATACAATAAGTATAAGAAATGCTTTTTTGAAAAATTATCTTTAAAATCAGCATCTGCGAAATAATTGGACACCGAACGGCTAGGACCACCCAATTATTTATCCTCAGCTTTTTTGAAGACTAAAACGAACGGAAAGTTTCTCTGCTTTTTACTCCGACACAAAAGAGAAAACTTGGCGAGAACGAAGCACTCTTTCGCTCAGGATGCAAACTACAAATTAACATAATAATCTATCTAACAAGAAAACATCAAATTTAAACAAGATATTGCACCAGTTTATGCCTTCATCGCTAATACTCGTATGGCTGAATGAGTGTTGGAATAAACTTGGAACGTAGGTACTAGCTCAACTTAACCAAGGTGAAATATTGCAAGTCTCCGTAGTTAGAGCGGAAGAATGTAGAATGTAGCATTTGTATGATTGAGGAATCATTGTGGTATCGAGCTAATCTAGGAAGTAGACCTCATAACAAGAAAATCCGGCTGAGAAACTAAACTATATTTCAACTATCATCAGTGACATTGTTCAGTTTAAAATGTTAGCAAGCATGAGCACAGATGGGGAGAGGTTTAAGTTTTGAAATACTGAGTGATAGTCACCGGAGCTCGATAAATGAAATGATGCTTATCTCATGTGACATGATGGCTGAGCAATCCGGAAATGAGAAAGACGCATGTATAGGTACGGTTCATCGTGCGAAGGAAAAGCGCTTGTATCAAGCGACGATACCTACGTAGATGATATTAAAACTGACCTAAAAGCCCCCTCGCGATCTATGTACATGTTAAGTTGGAGGTTCGCGCTGGATACCCCTGTAACTGTAATGTTAGTTCATTGGCAAGGTAGCGGAAGTTGTGTCAAAGGGGCTGCTCTGAGTCGCGGATTTTGGGCTTACTGTGCCATGAAAGACGAAACTGGAGGGGCTTCTAGCCATGGTAGAGACACAAAAAATTGGTCTAAAATAGCATAAGATGTGGCCGTGCGGCGTTGAAATGACACAGGTTTATCAGCACAGGTAACAAAACGACTCTCACGAAAACAGACAAAACCGCGCAAACCATGCACAGGGCTGCGATCTCTAACCGTTTGGTCGTTAGCTGAGACAACTAAAATTTTGCTTTAGGAGACTTAAAAAAGAAATTCATTGAAAATAATAGGTGGTGACCTACCAAGATTCTGTTGACAATAGACAACCAACAACAGTCCACCGTCGATCGTAGCAAAGATCATTCATAATTTAGTCCCGACTTATAACTCATCCGAGAAAGAATTCTGATTTTAAGCTTACATTTCAGACTCTTCACGGGCATCTGTAATTTATATGTGATGCGATGGATCTGATAGGAAACAAGACAACGCTTGAGAAGACATTTTTAGCTCAAGTGAAATTAACAACTTGTTACGGGAAAATTTACTGATTTTTCCGCGT